GCCCCATCGCGGCGACTGCAGGCGCCTGGCCGAAGCCCGACGTCCCTCCTCCAAGAGCGGCGCCGCCGGAGGGAGCGAGGGAAGGCGGCCGCGCGGGCACCGAGAAACCGGATCCGAAGGGCCGGGGCGCCTCCTCCTCGTCCTCGTCGTCGTCTCNCCAAACCGAACCGCCCCTCTCGCTGGCACGGCCGGCCTCGCCGGGCTGTGGGGGCCCCTTTGACGCCCGCGGCACTCCCACCACCTCCGGTCCTCCCCCTTGGCGGACGGGCTTGGCGGAGAGGAAGAGCAATCGGGGGGCGCTGCCTTTCGCGGAGAGCCCCAAAAGGTGCCAAGCGAGCGACTCGGGCGCAGAGAAGGAAACAATGAACCGCCCCTCTCGCTGGCACGGCCGGCCTCGCCGGGCTGTGGGGGCCCCTTTGACGCCCGCGGCACTCCCACCACCTCCGGTCCTCCCCCTTGGCGGACGGGCTTGGCGGAGAGGAAGAGCAATCGGGGGGCGCTGCCTTTCGCGGAGAGCCCCAAAAGGTGCCAAGCGAGCGACTCGGGCGCAGAGAAGGAAACAATGCCCCACTGTAGGATGGAGGGCTGGTTTGTTTCCTAACCACACAAACTCTCTCTCACTCACTCTCTCACTCTCTCTCTCTCTCAACACAGCAGAACAATCTGAAAAAAAAAAAAAAAAACCAATTACAACACCCACCAATCTTTTGCAACAAAACATAATTCAAACCATGTGAGGTTTTCAAATATCAGCACTGAAAAGCGATCTAAAGGACAGGGCAAACGCAGAAGGGCTTCACCGGGCTCTAGGGTGCCGCCACCAGAAATCCCGCCACAGCCGTTTCTTCAGCCCAGGCAGATACTTACCAGTGCTTTACTCAACTTAGAACTTCACAGGCAACCTAAACAAGGATCTGAATTTTATGTACCTTTGTACCCATAATATTTGGGCTACACTCTCATCATCAACAGAAAATTGACTTTGAAGTGTCTCTGTAGTGGTTTTGTGCAAATTGCTTCACCCTCCAGAAGGTGCACAATCTTGGCTACCTCCACTTTAGTCAGAGCATCTTACACCTAAACAATACCCCATATAGGACACCCTAATTAAATACCCTAATATAGCATCTGGCCCAGCATTATACACTGAGGCACTCATGATCTTCTGAAAACAATCATTTTATCCTTACCTGTAGAATCTTGAATAAGAGATTAACATTTCCACCCGTATTTCATTTACAAGATTCTCTAGTCTTGTGTCTAGCAAAGTCACATGAGAATCACTGCTGATATATTCATGAGTGAATGACAGGGGAGGCTTGAAATCAGGAAATAAAATTTTAGTCATGCCAAATCATTTTATTTCATTTATTTATTGGTAGCATATGGATCCTGAATTTCTTCCCATGAGCTCATGGTGATTTGTATGGGAGACGAGTCAAGTTAACAACAGAGTAACTGACCTTTTTTTTGTCAATAGGGGAGCCAATCTGGACTTGAAAATGGGTGCTGGATGGAACTGTAATCCTTTCCAAAGATTAGAGGTGCTGCTGTGTGTGGGGTGCTACTCTTTATGTCAAGGGGGCCTGCTAGTGGGCCCCAGCTGATAGCTGAAAATGGAAATGCTTTTGCTTGACTCACCAGCACCACAGGGTGCAGAATGAAGGCTCTTATTTTGTTTATGTGCCAGTTCAGGGCATTTGCTACTACAGTATCTTTAATGACTAAGATCCAGAATTGACAAAAGACTGCTTGCTTCCATAGGCTTCTGCCTGCATATGATAATTGGGAGGGTTTCAATATGCATCCTACTGCTTTCTGAGATAAGGTTGATGAGCACATGGGATTTGGCTCTTTGTTCTTGGGGTCAAACTAGACAAAACACACCTCATAGTTGGAAGCATTGCTTCCTTGAGTGCTGAGATACATGTATTTCTCATAGAATTTGCTTTTCCTCATCTCCATATCTTGCACTGTAGCATATTTTGTTTTGTGATGAGTCACTGGTAGGTATTTTGCAAGTCTAATTCCTCAAGCACAGACTTCTGAGAAACTCCTTACTGGTGAAGCAAAAATGTGCTGATAGCATGAAAATTACAACAGCTTGCCATGTTTTTTTATCCTTGATTTTTCTTTTTTTCTGCCCTTATCCCAACTCCATGGTCATTATACCCATGTTATGCATGTATTTCCTTACAAAAAAGGGTGTCTCTTTCTCCATTATCCTCACCTCATTGTGGGACCATGTATAACATAAAAGTCATCTAGTCTCACTCTTATGCCTGAGAAAATGGACTTAATCCACCAAAGCTCATGCTAAAATATAGAAATTAATAATTAAGGAACCACAGTGTTTTGGGATTGTTGTTTTCTTGTTCTTATTCTGTTTTGTGTTTTTATGATATGCTTGCACAGACTAAAATGGCTACGCCTTTGAAAACCATGAAAGGCCCTAGATTGTGCCAGAGTATCCATCAATCTCATGAAGAAACCTGCCCAGTTACAAATTTCTCTTATCAAATATACATGACAAGACTGCATTTCCGAGAAACTTTCAGTGAAGAACTGCCTTTCAGTGAAGAACTGCCTTTCTGAAGGTTCTTCATTACTCATTGGTGGAGCAAATAGGAAATATTTTATAGCCTAGATGGTTTCAGCATTCCATGACATATGATTTCTCAATAATATTTGTATTGTTTAGGTAGCTTTTTCAGTAATGTAAAGATACGACATATATATCTACTAATGTTTTTATAGTTTTGTAGCACTGGGAACCTAGATCAAACATATGGCCCTTTGGACACTCCACGGTGCACATCCAGTCTTTGACACATGTGACATACTGTACATTGGTGGATCTGATGACTATGAAAAATTGCTATGAACTTTGCTTGCACGTTTCTGAAATCTCTTTTCTTGCATTTTAGTAGGAGTTGGAGACTGCATTAAATACTACACTTTCTGAACATAGTATACATACATTTGTGCTCCAATGTACAGTATTTGAAGTATCAATTTTAATAAAGATATGTACATTTCAATGCACTGATTTCATGGGTTGCTTAGCTGAAGTCGTCAACATGCAGTCTCCCTTTCAGCCATTTTCTTCTCTTAATGGAGGTAACCTGCTTACTCTTTAAGATTCAGATCAGAAATGCAAACAAATGTGAATAAGCCCCAGAGGTGCTGTTGTTTATTTTCTGAACAGTCACTAGTACATTGTTATTTAGATTATGGAATCCTCCACATTTTGATGCCCTTGGACAAACCCACAGTAGCTCTGTCCCCCAATTACATTCCTAGTATATAATATAAATGCTAGAGTACTTGTTAAGAATGTAAAATATCTGAACACAGGGCCATATTAACCCATGCTGGGTCACTTGGCTTTCAGATATTCTGGGGGCCCTCCAGCACTTCAACCTTTCACCCCACTAACAACTGGCAGCCTGACCCAAAATCTTAACAGGCCTCTACTGGGGCCCTAGGCTTCAGCCTAGTCAGATGTATGAACCCAGCCTTGTGTGAACATTAAAATTAAACTGGAAAATTCTGCTTCTCTTCAGTGGCTGATTTCAACCGGCTTCTATATATTATTCATGATGATACTTTTCATGATTCTTAGGCATGAAAAATCTTCCTTGAATAGTACTGATCTTCCACTTTTCCCTTGGTGTTTAGGTACCACCTGGTATTGTGTTCATATATTGATAGACAAGAGTTTTTTCAACTTTGAAATAACCATTATTTTGTATTTATTACTTATTAAAGCAACAAAAAGCCAGAAAAGTGATCATTTAATGTGAGAGAAGGCCCACAGCTGGAAGCAACTATAGATCTCCTGGACAAATTTTTAATTCTTCAGAGTAAATGCACTCTTTCTGAGGATTTCATGACAGAGATAAGCTTATTACATTCAGCTTTGTTTTTTACAATGCTAATCCATAAATCAAGGTTCAAGTGGTGGACCACATTTGCCCTGGGCAATAATAAACACCTGATTATATGGGCATTTTTTAAGCTTTGTTTTCCCATTAGAGCAAGAGTAGTATTTTTCTGGGTCTCTTGGGTAAGGATAATTTCCATCAGATTTGTCTTCACAAAAGTCATCCTCAAATAAACCAGATTGGCCAACTGTAAGGGACGAACTTGGCTGCTCACACCTGTCTAGCGCGGGATTGTAGACTAGACCTGCTGGACAATCCATGATATACGTGTATCCATTGGAACAAGAAATGAATTTATGTGGATCTGGGGGGTATTCGTAATTTCCATTTGGTTTGTCTTTGCAAAAGTCTTCAGTGGGTAAAGGGGTGGTGGGTGGAGGAGTCGTGACTGGTCCTGGAGTTTCAGTGGGCAAAGGGTTATACGTTGGCACGATAGCTCCAGAGCCGCCACATACTGAAAGAGATATGAAGATCAGATCATCAGTTTTCTGTAACCAACCTATATTTCCTAACAGCCACTACAGCCTATGACAACAAACACACAAGGGAATCAGCTTCACTATAACTGCAATATAACCAATTTCTTTCAAGCTGCACAATATTACAGAAATTGTTTTAATTACTTGCTGTGGAGATAAAGGCTAGAATCCTGCACTTGTTTATCTAGGAAGTTAAGCTCAATAAATTTATGGAGACTTCCTTCTGTTTTAATGTGTTCAAGTATAGGCTGAAAGCCAAGTATCCCATATGAATGATTTTTCTGTTGATAAATATATAGTATTGTACAGAAGGAGAACTCATCCTAGTGGTTATTTTTCAGCTACAATAAAACAGAGGGAAACAACATTTAATGTGTATCCTCATCCATGAAAGAGTTCCCACGGTGTTGCTTTCGCATTTACCTGAAAGTGCATCAATTAGAAAAAAGGAGTAGCAGTAAGATGGTTAGTCACACAAATTGTGGCAGACCATTTTGGCTTGGGGATTCTGAGAGCTGTGGTCCAAAACAGTAACATTTCTAAGATATAAACCTCCCATAATTACACTTTAAAAGATGACAAAAGTTTAAAACATATATGAAGGAACCACTGGAAAATCTGACACTGCCTTCAGCTGGCACGTAATGGTACCTAACTCATATAGAAGGAATGGGATACATAAAGTAATCTCCCAGACATCAGCCCAGAATTGCTAACATAATTACCTGATTAATCAGAGTTACTACAAAGGAAGTACAGAACAATTCTAAATGAGTAATATGACCAGATGCCTTGACTTCTCTTTCTCTCTGCAAATAGTCCCTTGGTATCCTCTTACCATTGCCTGAAAGCAGTTTCTTCAACTCTGTCAGAAGAGGGTAAGGTCCATCATCACAGAAGGAGCCCACAAAGTCATCCAAGTCCACTGCCCATATCAAGGCTCCGGCAAGGCATTTGTCCTTCAAAAGCTGAGCCTACCAACAAAACCAACCAAGAAATATACAGTATATGTATTATGATTCCACTGTTCCCCAAAACATGCCCAAAGACCCTATTCGACAACTGTAATTCCTATTTTCGAAAGGAAGCCTTCAGTTAAAAGTGTCAGCCACTGGCCCAAAGTGACATTGGACACAATCTAAATCTTACATACCAGCTATCATAATTGAGGCCTTTACCCGACTCTGTATGCCACTGTTCTTGCATAGGTATAAAGTGCTGTAAGTCTTTTTCCTTTTTTCTATTTACAAAGTTGTATCAGTGGTTGGCATTACTACTCTCAGATGCCAGTTGTAGACTGTGCCAAGATCATCAGGGAAGGCCTTTCTCTCTGCCCCCTTCCAAGCTGCACTTGGTGAGGACAGGAAGAGGGTCTTCTCTGCAGCTGCTCCCAGACTCTTGTATTCCCTCCAATGGGAGGTCAAGTTGCCCCATCGTTGCTGTCGTTCCAAAAGCAAGAGAACTTTCTTTTCTGGCAGGCTTTTTCTTAATGACTTGCTGTGCAGGAGAGGTTTTTAAATGAGATGATTTACATTTTGTTGCTTTTTTTTTCGTAATACTTTACCTGACATTCTTAATATAATGTTATTCATTTATTTAATGTTTGAATAATTCAATATTTTTAGCTTTAATATTATGTTTTCATGATGTAAGCTGCCTTTGGTCCTTTCTTATGAGAAAGGCAGAGGAAAATATTTTAAATAAAATAAATAAAAATAAAAACTTGATTTTCAGTGGTCAGGCACTGTTGTGGCTTTGCTCACCAGGAGTCTACTAGCTAATATTGCTAAGTCAGCAGCATCTCTGAAGTTTCAAGTCAAAGCCTGGGAGTGGGGGACACGTTCTTGTATTGTCACAGAGATTGGGCAGGCATGTGTTGGAATAAGAAGCTAGAACATTTTTCTGGGCCAACAAACTGCAGAGACAGGCAAGAAAAGAATCTAGCTACACAGGCCCCAAATAAAACCTGACTAATCAGATAAGTCAATCTGCAGCTGGGGGGAAAGGCAAATTTTTAGCAGCAGGGCAAGTGGTAAAATGTGCCCAGCAGCTGAAGTTGTTGCTACTAGTCTTCTGAGCATGTATGACACACTGGGACTTTTTTTAAAAACACTACACAACGGCTGGATCTTTTGGAATGCTCGTCAATTAGCCCACATAAACCTTTTTCTTCAGCAAAAAACACATGCATGGGGCACCAAAAAGTCTCACAAATTATCCTGCAGGCATTCTAATCCCTAATTTACTGTAAACGAGACAATGGGCCTAAATGCAGGCGTGGACTGGCTCTCGCCATTGCTTTTTTTTTTAACCCGAAGGCATTGCAGAAGTACAAACCACACGCAAACACCCTTCCCTTGAGCTACTGAGTCCTGGTGTCCACCAGGGAAGGGTGGAGATGGCCATCCAGGCTTTAAAACAACCTCTCTCACAAAAATCAAATTTTCTGTACAATATTTATAAATTTGATAAGTAATGTTGCAAATCAAAGGCCATATTGGAAAGAAAAGTGAGCTAAATAGTAAATAAAGAAGAGCTTACTTTGTATCGAAAGCTAACTTTGTTGTCGTAGCCAACCCAGTCAGAATCTTTGTAGGCGTAGGGGACTGCTTGGTCATCAATCCACTCAGCAGTAGCACCATTTTTCAGAGCATCACAAACCTACAAAACAAACATACCATATTGTAATAGTCAGTGGGAGTGGGCTTATATTTTTGATTTGATGGACCCCTTGCAATATTTTTAATATTAAGTAAAAAAAAATTTAAAAATTGTCTAGCTCATGAAATATACCTCTTTCAGCTATATTGGGCTATTGGTGGCCAGGCTGCGTGTATTTCCGCAAATAATTGTGAATCATTGGCTATGAAGCATGTTTAAGACTCAAACCAAAGGCCCAAAAGTGTTTTGAAGCAAATTCAATTAGCAATGAACAGTTAGCAGTCAGCTGTTCATTTTTTTTTTACTTTTAATATGAAGGCTGAGGGATGCGTTATAAAGAACTGGAAACAAATCTCTTACATATTCCTTATAACGACACAAAAAATACAGGACCAGCAACCGTTAACAGAGGACGTATCTAGTGAGCATGAGTTATATTGTCCCCTCTGTGTATGACAGGATGGAAAGGAGCCAGGAATGACATGGCATGAAAGCACCACCTCTTCTTGAGACCCCAGAGGGAATGCTTGACTACAAGGAAAGATTCATGAGCAGAGAAGTTCTCAAAAGTATGGGATGTCTTTGAGAGAAAATTCTTCCTCCCAGCAAGTCCAGTTCTTCAAGTTCTAGCAGCTGAGCTCTGGGTGGGCCCAAAATCTCAACAATGTAAGCCCCAACTTTAGGACTGTAAGGTTCCTGGAAATTATGTATTTTCAGAATTCCAGACCCTGTCTGCTTTGTTCCTTACATCCTAACCCTTGCTGTGACTGCCATGCTATGTGTGACTTTGGACTGTCATGGCTACTTGCACATTTGGAATTGCCTTGCCTATTTGTTGTTTAAATCAAGACTAGCTGAACCTGGAGTCCTATTGGACTTTGCCTTTAGATCCTCCTTACAATATTGTCTGGGAAGATTTTGTTTTTGAGTTTGGCTAAATTCCAGGGATTCTCCTTCCCTGGCTTATTTTTTTGTGGGGCAGCTCCTTGCTACTGAGGCCTCACCTACCCAGGAACAGATGATAGATCTTGAGAACATGGCGAATGTTCAATTAGGCAGATTGAGGCAGTGACCTCTGAGGCATTGCCCCATCACCTAGCCCTCTGGTCCTGAGCCCTCTGGCATTTCCTCTATTGTTGGAGGGCAGAGCCATGCATACCACAAACCCTGTCCTGTGCTCCTTATATTGATAAAGGGACCTTGCATGTGGTAAAGGGCTCTATTCCATTCTCAGTATTAGATTAGTTGTCAACCCAGTATTAAATTAATTGTCATCATGATCAAACTCTGCACATGGAACAGAGAGGCACCATCTTGTAATCTGCAGCAAAATGTCTTGGACAGCCTCTGCCTCTTATTGAGTGTGTAATCATGTAGACCAAGATTAGGTGTCAACGATGCATTTGACAGCATGATGTAAATAACAGACTCTGTTGGCTGGGAAATTGGTTGATAGGTCAGGCTTGTCACACAAGAAAGAAAGAATGAAATTCTGAGGAACAACAAACCACAAGTAGTGATCAGAAAGAGGAAACACTGTGAGTACAAACATCAAGGAGGCACTATGAAAGAATCCAGATATGTCAGCTCCTCAAAGTCAATTTTAACTGACTACTTCTTATTTGTCGTTCAAAATTCCCAACAGATATGTCAAAACATCAAAAATATAGTGTTTTCACACACGTATACACACACACCTCGGAACTGAAAAGAAAAATGTTAGAAGCATGTTAAAATCGAGCACATCTAGCATGATAATTAAGACAATACTTAGCTATAAGAAGTTAAAGAAGAAAAAACGGAAAACATTGCATAGGGGAGTTAGTGCTGCAGTAGACTTGTTTATTACCAGAATGATTTGAATTCTTGTCACTCTTCTGCATTCCCTCTTGTTCAGAGCTTAACTTGGGTAGGGGGTAAATTTTCCCGGCAGCAATGGCCAGAATCCTATTGGTGGTTGAGTAAGATTTGCATATCTTGCTGCAGATAATTTTGGCTAATTGATGAGGTGCTGGGTTCTATCTTGGTCATTGCTTCATTAGACACCTGATTATGCCACTGAGTGACACTACAGCACCTCATCACTTAGCCACAGCACATTAGTCAAACCTTATGCAAACATTAATAGGATCCCAGCTAACATATTATTAGGAGTTATTCCTTGTATAATACAATTTTTTTCAATGGCTTGACCTGGACTTCAATGCCAATCAAGACCTATGAACTATATAAAAAGTCTTTTTCTTTGGGGATATGAAAACTGCTAGGACAAGTTGGCTGAGATGGATTGATGCAGTCGATATTTATCATCTGGGGATCTTCCTTGAAGATGCGGGCATGGTGACTGTTATGAGGAGCACCTGCACTACACCACTGGCAACAATAACTTTCAAGCCAAATACTTGCCTACCTTCCACCCCAAAAGAGATCTCTTGAATCAGATCAAAGTTCTCTTTAGTCCAGCATCCTGTTCCCACAATGACCAACCAGATACCTCTTAGATGACCACAAGCTAGATATCCCGTGAGGTAATAGTCCTCCTCTATTTGGCACTGGTTAGGCCTCATGTAGCATATTGGGTCCAGTTTTGGACACTTAAGAAAGATGGTAAAAAAAAACTAGAACAAGTTCAGAAGAGAGCTACAAGGATGATCAGAGGACTGGGAACCAAACCCTAAGAGGAAAGACTGAAAGAACCGGGCATCTTTAGCCTTGAGAAAAGAACATGGGAGGCATGATAGCACTTTTCAAATATTTGAAAGGCAGTCATAAAAAAAAGAAGAGGCAAGATCTATTCTCGATCATCACAGAGTTCAGGACATGTAATAATAGGCTCAGGTTACAAGAAACCAGATTTCAACTGAATACCAGGAAAAAAACTTCTTAGAGCAATACAACAATGGAACCAATTACCTTGGGAGGTGGTGAGCGCTCCAGTGCTGGAGGCATTCAAGAGAAAATTGGACAACCATCTGTTGATTCTACTTTGATTTGGACTCCCGCCTTGAGCAGGGGGTTAGAAATGACAATAGGCTCAGGTTACAAGAAACCAGATTTCAACTGAATACCAGGAAAAAAACTTCTTAGAGCAATACAACAATGGAACCAATTACCTTGGGAGGTGGTGAGCGCTCCAGTGCTGGAGGCATTCAAGAGAAAATTGGACAACCATCTGTTGATTCTACTTTGATTTGGACTCCTGCCTTGAGCAGGGGGTTAGAATTGACGGCTTTATAGCCGCCTTCCAATTCAATTATCCAATAATTCTATATGGGCATTCATACCTGTTCAATCAAGTTCACCAGCAACTGGTATTCAGAGTTGCAGAGTCTATGGTACTAGAGAATAATGTATAGATTTAATAACCAATAGCCATTGGCAGCCTTATCTTTCGCAAGCCAGGCCATTTCCCCTTTAAAGACGCATTATATAGGAGGAAATTCCCTAGTTTGTCCCTATGCTGTGAGACATGCTTCTTTTAGGAAGCTTGGGATGGCAAAGTAATCCATGTCAATGCTGAGAAGCAGAGGACTTCTCGTGTCCTTTGGTTTCTTTACCTCATAGTAAGACCAGAAGCCTCCCTCTCTTGTGTACTGTCCAGCAGCAGGCTCCTCAGAGGCAGGGGCACCCACGGATGTGTCAGTGGTGGTAAGCTTGAAAGTGCGTCCATATGTGGGGAATCCCATGAGAAGTTTAGAAGGAGTAGCACCATTTTTGATCCAGTAGTTTATGGCAAATTCCTACAAGGATAAAAAAAATCTTATACCAACTGCTTAGTACCCATCGTTTAGTGAAGAAAATAAACATGGTTCCATGTTCTTACACAGTTGAAACTTGGGTCTTCTTCAGGGTGATCACCAGCATACAGAGGGCTATTGTGCCCTGTGACTTTATCAAAAGTACCACCATGGAAATCATAGGTCATCACACTAATAAAATCTAGATGTCTGTAAGAAAACGTAACTTAGAATTAGATGATCTTAAGCAATTTAGCAACAATTTCCTCATTGTTCTATTATATTTTTAATGTATTCCAAGGGTGCTTCCAGAAAGACATTTCCTGTACATTATCAGTTAAAAAGGATTGCACAGCTATGCTATATTTCCCCTCTTCAAAGGGTAGTGTTTTGTTTTGCTGGCAAGGAAAAGGAGAAAAGAAACAGTGGGAAAATTTAGGAACAGGGCATATGGAAGAGCATGGCATAACTGGAATTCTTGGAAAATTTCAAGAATGCTAGTTGTATAATAAATATGCCATTGCAAATCCAATCTGAGGGAAACACAGTACAGTATTTACCTATGGTAATAATATATGAAAATATGAAAATTTAATTAAAGCTTTTCATATATTTTTTCTGAATAGGAGAGAAAAATTTGATCATTTGACCTTCAGTGCTAATGTTGTGGCCTGAAAATTGTGACACTATTAGCGCCAATATGAAGCAATCTATTAAAAGATGGGTGTTTCTCAGAATTTGAGGAATGCCTTTTTTCACCACTAAATAACCTCAGAGAGTGACTATATATCTGAAATGAGGAGTTCAGGTTTCTAGAGTAAAATATGGGGGTTCTGGCTTGACAGGTTCCGCATTTCATATACATATTAGTGTGTGTGTGTGTGTGTGTGTGTGTGTGTGTGTGTGTCTGTGTCTGTGTCTGTGTCTGTGTGTCTGTGTGTCTGTGTGTCTGTGTGTCTGTGTATTGCTGAAAATGCATTTCACAAAATATGTTTTTCTTTTAACTTACTCATTTATTTCTTTAATTTCATATGCAGCATCAATGGTTGATTTGCCAGCAGCAACAGCTGCAGTAAGCAACAGCCTCTTCTGCCCAGTTTTTCTGCTCTCTTTTTCAAAAGCTGCGTGCATTTCCTAGGCAAACAAAACATTTGTGAGATTTGTCTCTTAAGTGATGCATAAGAGGCTGCAGCATAATTCTTTTCATGGAAAGCATTATTCCTTTTTTTCTTTTTTCTTTTTCTTTTTGTTAGCATGCATTTCATTTATCAATTTCCAGCGGTACACATTTTTTTCCAATGGCACACCAGCGGCATACTAAAATACTCTTGAAACAATGTTATACATAGCCAGCGATTAGAGGTGGAGGCCTCTTTTGGGGAGGTCATGACTATGTCTGTGAAATCAGACTTCATGAAATCTCTGTGCTAAAGTCCCACAGACAAATCACAAAATAAAGAAAACTAACTTGCAAATTACAGAAAGTGACAAAAGCTCTTGCTGTGCACGCAGACTCTTTCAGCAATTAAGGAATTCCCTCTTCTAACTGCAAGCTATCTGAAGCATTTATTTTTCTCTCGGGTAACCAATAAATTACAAAACATCTTAACAACATACCTGTACCAGCAAAGTGAAACGATGTTTATCCTCAGGGGGACTACCCCGAGCACCTGGATATTCAAAGTCCAGATCTGCCCCATCAAATCCATGACGCCGCAGAAACACCATTACTGAGTCGATGAAGATCTTGCGATTGGACTCTGTAGATAACATTTCGCTGAATCTGTGAAAAAGTAACTTCCCTTATAAGCAACAATATCAGGCAGACATTGGAAGTTTACAAATATGATTACCTTTACTAGATATTCCATTGTGGATCTACAATCACAATTGTTTGGATTGAAGCAAAAACTCCCAAATCTGTTCTCAGGAAAACCAAGCCAAGAGGAAAGGGACAGTAATGAAGGCTTCGCTGATACACTTATCTAGGTATGCAGAGTGTTTATTAGTAGATTTGAACTCACTTCTGTCCTAGTTAGCTATGCAAAAAGGGTTGGATAATGGTTTATAAAATATAGATAATATAGAAAATTCAACACTCTATACATGTTTGTCTGCCAAAAAATGTTTCCCCTTTTGTTCTGGAGGTGGTACAGATAGCAGGATAGATTGAGAATACTTGCATTTCATTCCCATTGAAATTAATGGAACTTTACGTAGGCATGATGACTGATTATTCACACTAATTTCAATAGGAACTAAGTGCAATAGGACCCAAAATATAATAACACAGATTTTGTGGATGAAATATTTGTGGAGAGTTTAGGGTTTGTGTAGATGAAGTCTACAATGAGAAAAAAATAGATATACTATGCTACTATTTTTGAGAGGGCTGTGGTAAAACAAAGTATGTATTTTTTTTTGTTCATTTATTTAAACATTTAAAGATGAAGCAAAAGAACTTCCAATCCTTAAGAAGATTAATGTAAATATCTTACATAAACTGAAACTTAATCCAGCCAAGGGGGATGCAGGCTGGATTAAGCAAACAGTTATCCAGTTTGGAAAAAAAATTATGGAGTTATTAACTAATTCTGGATGGAATTCTGCACTCCAATTTAAAGAACAAGCTTACTGCTTTGGGATGCTCTTCTGTCTGTTCTTACCTTTACAGGGCCCATATAAACTCTGTAGCACAGAGTTCCTTTCATAGCCTTGCTGATGCACTGTTCCCAGCCACAGCCATTTTTATATCAACAAAATAGCTATCCATGCTACAATGCATTTTGTGTAGGACTGCCTTTCAGTTTGAATGTTTTTGTCAGTTCAGAAGGCATTGCCCAGAGTTTTCATTGATATTGCTTGCTTGGACCATAAGTGAATAGGCTACCACTTACTGGCCAAAATCCTGTTACATAATGAAGGCTGCATAACTGTTTTCCAAGCAGTTGCACAATTCATGCCAAGATAAAAATCATATCCAGCAAACAACTAGGTGCACAATAAATTGTGCAAAATAGGCAGATTTCGCAGTAAGTTGCACAATCAATTGTACAAGCAAGCATGCAATATGGACTGTCTGGGAGTAACTCCCTGAGAACTTCTGCAGCTGTAACTTTATGCCATGCCAAATGCAAGAGGATTCCAGCCAAATTGTTCCAGCCCAGATTTGTACCTAGCCTTGGATGAATTCATCAGAAAAACTGAACTTCATCACTATGTTAACAACACAGTATCTTTTTCAGATGAGTCAGCAAAGGAAGTACTGATCCTTTGAGAGCTGTAAAATACTGCATCTAGATCCCTACCTAGTTTTGCAGTTTCCAAAAAGCCATTCCTGAAAAATCATTGATTAAAACATGAAGAATTGCACTCCAGTGAGTTAAATTGTCAGGCAAGTTAGGCACATGGCCCCCAAACATACCTTGCATATGAAAGTGGACTGCAGAGTACGTTCAGTTTCAGTGGGGGGGAAAGAGAGTGGTTTGTGATGGGTTTGAGCCTTAGAAATTTGGGTCCTAGACTCTCCAGAGTTGACTACCTGATCCTAAAGGATCAGATGCTCCATATCGAAATGCTATCAGGACCTCAGTTGATGAGAGTAGATCTCTTAGAAGCAGTATTTAATCAAGTCACAAAAATATGTACAGTAATTGTGAAAAAAACTTGAAAAGAAGTGTGCCTGTTGTTGGAATTATAATTGGAATGTAAACATCTAGTTTCTTTTCATTTCTAATTGCAGAGGCATGCATCATAACAAAAATTATGCTTTTAGAGGGGAAAGTTGCAGGAGCAAGAAAGATACAATTCTTGAACTTGTGTTTGGGTCTTTAGGTTTGTTTTTGACTCCTTGAGGCTAATGGAGCCCCATTAATACAAAGCACATTCTGTCCTTTGACTAATATAACAACTGCAACCTCTGCTGGATTGAGAACAATCCAATCACAATTATCCATATTGGTATGGGGTGTGCAAAGACATCACCTTGCTGACAAAGGTCCGCATAGTCAAAACTATGGTTTTTCCAGTAGCAATGTATGGAAGTGAGAGCTGGACCATAAAGAAGGCTGACCGCTGAAGAATTGATGCTTTTGAATTGTGGTGCTGGAGGAGACTCTTGAGAGTCCCCTGGACTGCAAGGAGAATAAACCTATCCATTCTAAAGGAAATCAACCCTGAGTGCTCACTGGAAGGACAGATCCTGAAGCTGAGGCTCCAATACTTTGGACATCTCACAAGAAGAGAAGACCCCCTGGAAAAGACCCTGATGTTGGGAAAGTGTGAAGGCAAGAGGAGAAGGGGACGACAGAGGATGAGATGGTTGGACAGTGTCATCAAAGCTACCAACATGAATTTGACCAAACTCCAGGAGGCAGTGGAAGACAGGAGGGCCTGGCATGCTCTGGTCCATGGGGTCATGAAGAGCTGAACATGACTTAACGACTAAACAAGAACATGGGGTGTACAGAGGAAGAAGTTTCCAAGTGGAAACAATATAGCTATACATGTCACCTAACTCCTCCCGTGGCCTCTTAAGTTTTTAATCATGTGCCATCCCTACGATTCTTCTGTTCTCCAAAGGACAGTATCTTGATCTTTATAACTGTCAGTGGTAAAGCTTACCCTGCACCAAAGTTCCATCCTCCAATAGCTAGCAGAGTCAATAAGGCTGGATTTCTGTAAAAATCAAAATTATATTTTCTGTTTTAACATGAATCGGAAACAGATATGTTGCATGACATCTATATCTAGTGTTTAGGTACCCAGAACACAAGTGAAAGAGCTGGATTACTAATAATGACATATCTGGCGGGACAGGAACACAGTGGATCTGTGGCCATTTTTATGTGCTACCCAACACCCCCAATCACACCAAACATTCCATTTTAGCACTGCAGAATTATTTTTCCCATATTTTGTGGGGTACTTAGCACCCCTCAACATACCCATATGTATTCCAAATTTAATTTATTTAAAAAAATATTTTGGCCACTAAAGTGTATGAAGGCTTTTTTCCAGTTTAAAAAGACCAGGTTTCATAAAGTTAAACCTATTCTTTTCAGTTAACAAAATCTTTGTATCAACCTTTATTTGTATTTACATTAATTTATTTACTTAATTTATATTCTACCCTTTTCACACTGAAGGGATTCAAAGCAGTACAATATATATCCACTGGATTAATTTTTAAAAATAAAATATAAGTAAGTATGCAAATCAGGAAATGTAATCCTGAGTTGTTAACCTTAAGTTTATTATTATGGTAAGTTTTCTCTTTTTCTACTATTCCTTGGAGGCTTGTTGTCATGCAGAAAGCTGGGATAGAAATATGTTTAAGAAGCCAAGAAAACAAAGTATAGTTCCTCAGCCTTTGATTATTCATGGGTCAGGTTATAAGCATACTCAGCTATTCAGTGCTCCTTTAAATCACCACAAGAAGAGGCAACACCATTGTTCCCTGCCTTACAAAGTTCTAAAGCAGCAAATGAGGATCTGTGGCTCTCTGGATGCTATGGCACTGAGCCTTCTATCAGCAGCAGCCAGCATGGCTGATGGGATGGTGGCAGTTGCAGTCCAAAACAACAAATAAGGCTTAAGATTGTACCACCCTTGTTTCAAAGCTGCACCAAAACCATTACCAGATGTTTCCTGGACATTTGACTGTCTCACAACCATCTGGATCAAGCAGTTAAAACCAACAACACCCGATTTGTCTAATCCCACAGAATCCTCAAGGGATTCCTGAATACCTTTAAAAAGTTTAAAAAACCATTCCTGCATTTGTATATTTCTGTCTGACCTCTGCTTAAGTGCTTGTGTTTCAGGGTAAAGTTGACTTTCATCATTCCATTCAAAACTTTGGATCTGATTAGACTTTATAACTGCAAAGGCGAAGATGACATGAGTGCAGAGATTTGGATCTGTATTTTTAGGGAAAAACTTTCCAGGAGCAGGACGGTACTGTGCCCAGTTGGTGATGTAACACACAAGTTTGCAAGGAAAACCTGCAAAGAAAGTACAGCATATGTAATTATTTTAATGAAGCCACACTAGTTTTTCTTTTGAGTCAACACTTATACAATAAAAGTACTTCTAGATAGAAGTATTTGCAGTGTTATGTAATTTGGTAACTCTGACACCTATTAAGTGTGAGATAAACTAGAATAATGATGCCTTTGTGTTGATAACTCCAACTCCAAATGCTTACACAAGCAGATAAAGAATGTTTGGCCTTCTGGATGTTTTAGCCCACAATTCCCAAAAGCCTCAGCCAACCTGGCAAATGGTAGAGGATTGGAGATTTGTAGTGTAAAATATATGGGGGGCAAAACATTATCTAACATCCACCTGGCTTACATGATCAGAACAAATGGCACACCAACTATGTACAGTGCAAAGTTGGTGCTTCAATCCTAATTCTTCTCTCTGAAAATAAAAACAAACAAACAAAAAACCAAAAAAGATAAGAGTGGGTGATACTTTTATTGAACCACTAAAAAGAATCAAACATTAACTAGCTTTTTAGTCTTCACCAGAAGAGTTGTGAGTGATGCACAGGGGAGAAAGTGCAAATGTCTCAAAAATCATGGCCAGAAATGGGGGTTTGAAATGGGGGTTACAGACTCAGGTCAGAGATGTAGGTTTAAGATTCCATTTCTGATACAGTAGTCCCGATTGGAATAACAATTGTCCCTCTCTGGAAGGGGATACGTTGTGTGGTGTGGTATAGTATAGTGGATAGAGTGGCAGACTAGGACTCAGGAGGGTTGAATTTGAATCCCTCCTCAGCAATGGAAACTCACTGGGGATGTAGAACTGGTAAAAGCACCCCTGAAATATCTCATTCCTTGAAAGCCCTATTAAAGTTGCTGTAAGTTGGTTTCAGCTTGATGGCACTTAACAACAACAATTCTCTGGAAGAAGACAACAGAAACTCTTTCCTTTGTGTTTGAAAGCTGAGGGGACAGCCATGGCTCCCTGTATGTCTGCTCTACTTACCTAAAACAATCCTTCCTATTTTCCTTCCTATAGCAATGTATTTCGGTAAGAAACACTACATTTCTTAATTTCCCCAAATGAAAAATGTAGATGAGATTTTATTTTTCTAGAGTGGCAAGCTCTGGAGATTCCTGGATGAAGTGGATCATCTATTACAGTCTGGCTTCAGGCCTGGTTATGGAACAGAACAGCTTTGGTTGCCTTGGTGAATGGCAGTGGCCCCTCGCCTCAGGAATGACCTGAGATAACTTGCTGCTTAAAGGCCTTTAAGCACCAAGTTATCTCAGAAATGCAGGTTTTCAGCTTTCAGGTTTTTAAATGTTTTTGAAATTTTAAATCTTAATATGTGTTTGATTTCTTTTTAAAATATTTATTTATTTAATTTATATCCCACCCATCTAGACCGAAGTCTACTCTGAGCAGCTAACAATACTCAAGAATAATAACATAAATTTAAATATAGAAGAAAAAATAAAAATAGCATAAAAGACATGAATAATAAAAGAATATGATATTTATATAATGTTTTTTTAATCTGTTATTTTATCTGTCGTGAGCCTCCTTGGGTCTCCTATGGGGAGAAAAGCAGCACAAATGATTTAAATAATTAAGTAAAAGTGTGCTATGCTAATCATTCCAATATTCAGAACCTACACAAGTTAACTTAAGGTGCTGCTTGCAGCTGCTACCTCTGGTAATATTTTTAAGCTCTATTTCCAAGGATCCCTATGTTCCAGGAAAAATAAAAAAGATGATTTGGATTTCTTGCCTGAAGCACAGAAATGCTAGTATTAACAAAACCTTGTGAAAATTCCTAAAAATACACTTGGTCGCCTGGTAACTGTGCCGTCAGACTTTGACGTGGGGGAGCTTTAGTAAAAAATTCTGCTTCATAGCAATGCAGTAATATGACCATTTTAATTGAGCAAAAAAGGGGGGATAGAAAATAAGAGAAGGCAACAGTCACAAATAAATAATACAAACTAATTTAGATATTTACACAATGCCTACTCAATAGAGTCTTAATATTTATATAGTATCTACTTTAATGGTCAAACCATATGGAGAGTTCATTGCTGCAAGAGCAACCCAAGACCTGGATTTTGAAGGACTTGATCAGTTCTAGACAATCAACCCATTGTGCAAAATATTGTACATTTCGGCTGTGTATTGCAGAACAGAATAACTGGTCTATTTAGTCAGCCTTGCAACATGTAAACTTACCAGATGTTCCAGAGACACAGTTGAGCTACATCAAAATGAACAGCATGGTCATGGAGACAATGCATTTTATTAATGCAGTAGACATTTTAATAATACATTGGTGCCAGTGGACAATTTCCTTCCAATGCAAATGCCAGTTTAGAAAAGAACTTCCTTCTTAAAATGGCAGCAGTGGAGAGAATGGTCGCCTTCTCCCCTCTACATCTGCAGCAGTCCAAATAATTATCAATTCCATTTCCAAGCAGCTGCTATTTGAACATATTAAATTTAGCACAAGAAGTTAAAAGGCATGTGTAGCGTTCACCCTAAGTTATGTAAGAAGATATGTAATATTCATAAGATATATGCTAATGTGGTTGAGAGGTGGGGCCTCAAGAGATGTTAAAAGGCAGAGCCTGAGAAGAGAGAGTCAGAGGAGTCTGTGTTAGAAATCTGAGAGAAGGGTAGTTTGGGGTCTGTGGAGTGATTAGTCTGAGGAGTGATTAGTAACCTGTGATATTTAATGTAGAAGATTAATATTGATGCTTGGTGAAATTGAAATAATATTCTTATGAATTATCCTAGAAACCATCTGTAATCAATAAACCTGTTCTGTTAAAAGTCAGTACTGAATGGACCTTTATTATTTCTAAGTAAAGTAAGTTGATAAGGAGATCAACTGGTGGCAGCGTGTGAAGAGAGGTTTTGGTCTGGCTTTGTGAGCTCTGTGTTTGGGGAGACAAGCAGGGGCTGTGAGGGCAAACGTCACAGCATGTTACTTCACGTCTAATAAAGAGAGGTTTTGGTCTGGCTTTGTGAGCTTTGTTTGGGGAGACAAGCAGGGGCCGTGAGGGCAAACATCACAGCATGTTACTTCACATCTAATCCTGCCCTTTGTGCTATAGATTTATGCATTCAATTAGGGATGCAATCATTGTGGAAGTGAACAAATAGTATCAGAACCTCATCTACAAAATTCTCATCTTCAGTAGGACCTGGAGGTTCTCACTATATAATCACATCCACATACATTTTTAAGATTAGCAAAAGAATGTACAATAGACAATGTATGATCCTGGTTTTATGGTATCATACAAAGTCAATTCCTCACACTAGCAAACTTACTGTAGAAAAAAACAACAAAATAATAGATCTTTCACCAGGAACATCTAGTCTGATATAGTACCTTTGCACCATTGCAATCCATATCAGATTAGAATATAACACCAAAGATTAATATGAGAGGCTGATAGAAAATAAGTCTTGTCATTCATCATAAAGGAAACCATGTGTTGAAAAATTATCTTGGGATTGTGGTTGTTTAAATAATCTGATCTGATGAGTTACATTTTCCATTGGGGAAATATGCCATATTCTATTTCTCCATACATTACAGTTTCCCCCTAGTTTGTGGTAATTTCCAAACATCTGGACAAAACAATAAATTGTTTATGAATTAGCTGTTTGTTATTGCCTGAAAATAAGGACAGAAAATCAGATAACTTTTTGCCTTGCAATTAGTTCTATTTTTGTAAATGACCTGGACCAGAACAGCCAGATTGGGGGGGGGGCATCTCCACTACATATGAAAATACATACTGTACCAATACAGTATTCCCACATTTCCTCCAACAGGTCAAGCTAACTTCTTTATTGATACAACTTAAATGGAGAGGTGAAAAATATCACCTGTGCAGAAGCTTAATAGAATGTTCTTTAAATTTGGAGGGGATTGATCTGAGTAGAGCCTTTTTCCATTTGTCATCTGATATGGTGAATAAAGTTCTTTTTAAAAAAATAGCAAACTTACCAGTATCAGACTTTTGCCTCAACTGAACAGATGCACGTTCATCAAGCATGACTTTATGTGGATTCAGAACAAGGATATCTCTAGAATGCACATGGTAATCAGTAGTCCCAGACACAAAAGTTCCTGCATCTATACCTAAAGGCACACACACACACAGTTTATTATAGTAGCACTATGTTATAATGATAGAAATTATTATTTGCTAGCAAGTTGATTCTTGCAAGAGTTTCCTAAGTATAAAGTGTATTCAGAAATGGTTTACCAGTCCCTTCTTCTGGGAGCATTCTGAGATCATGTAGCTTGCCCCCAGACCAAATAGGCGGCTTTTCTCTTAGAAAGGCACAGTGGGGGAACTGAACTCCTAACTCACGGCTCTGTGACCAGAACCAGAACTCGTTGATCTATCTAGCCAACTCTCAGAATGAATGTATGTGCAAGTGGAAGTGGAACTATGTTAATTCTATTGTTATATCTAAGAACATGGCTACGTTAAACAACTGAGGGAAAAACACAATTTCTGCTATATTTACATGGTTCTGGATCAATATGTGATATATTAAGTTTTGAGGTAAAGGAAAAGTTGAACAAACGTGTGGTTTTGCTGGATATACAGCTGTGCTTTCTTGACTCAGTTAAGCACAATTACACAACTTATAATTGTTCAAATCTTCCAGGAAGACAATCACATTACCTGGATGTGATTATTCTTTTGGGACAGGGTATATCCATTTCTATATGTATGTGTGCATGTCTGTATATCAGTGTGTCAGTGCCTATAGCTTGCAACTTCTAGCTTGCTAAAATGAATACAAACCCTTAATGCTTTTCCTTTACTAATAGTTATACTCCTAGATTAAATAAAATGATTGCTTATAATGACATATACAGTATTCCTTAGATTATTTGACTTGTTCAACAACAGCTTGAAACAAATTCTTGGAATGTTTCAGGTGGTGTAGTAGAAAATTGACACTGTCTTGGTACCTTTCTAACACCAGGCAAGAAGTACGTTTTTACAAATCCTGTGACTTCAACCATAACCACAACCACTTGTCCTTGACCATGATAGGTTCTTTACCATCTTAAAGCTGGCAAGTCTAGTCAAGGATAACATAAGGGGAAACCTGCATATCATCCCTTTGGAGATACATATGTGCTCCAGATGCAGTGCCAGGATAGGCATTTCACTGTGGGGAAGATGCACGTGTTCCCTTTTCGTGCACATGACACCAAAACCTTCCCCAGTCTGCTTAATTTTGCAATATGTACATGTAAAATTGTTTAAAGTAAACATGCTTGCATTATTTGGATGATGATCTGAAAATGTAAAAGAAACAAAGAACCAGAAACTGAGATGTTTCCACATTGACATATAAATCAATAGATGGATCGTTACTGATATGGTTTGGTTTGAACCAAATAATGGTGTCCACATGTATTTCCACTTGGATCAATCCATTCTGCCCCTTTAAGATCTGTTGCTGACCTTTCTAGCACAGCAATAGGGCATGTATTATTTTTGGTACAATTCAATGTGATCCTAATTAGGTTTATTGTGTACCCTGTGCGGACAGTAAGACCATACCCAATTGGAATGGTGGGAAGTATTAACTGAGAGACAACCCTGTGACATGTTAGGTAGGTTATCAGAATGGGAGAATGGAGAAACCCCTTCTCTGTTTTCATTTTCTTTTTTAACATTTCCCTAACTGACACAGCACAATTCTAGTACCATGCTAGATTGATGTATTACACTTTTGATATGCCACTTACTTTATTTAATAACAACAATAAAAAAGGACAGTCACCCCAGCCCCCTGAATGATGGCTGCTAGAAAAGGCAGGGAAGGGGGCTATGTTGACTTCATGGGCTCCACCCCCACAAGTAAGCATAGTAGCAGCACAGCTTTTGCTGAGGGGAAAGGTGGGAAAAGGGGGGTGGGCCAGAGACAAGCAATCATGGAATAATTTTGCTCATTACTACATCATGCTCTCCAATAAACATAGGATTTTTCTGCTAGAAAGCTAAAATACCCAATGTACATGCACTTCTTTGCAAACTCTGAGCTAACTCTGTTTAGTGAACCTTGCACACTTTAGAAATGCTGGCTGGCAACAATGAGAGTCACAATGCAACACATATGGTGGGCATCAAGTTAGAAAAGTCTGGCTAAGTGCTGATCGCATATTTCTACAGCCGAGTCTCCAGGTACAATTGCATCTGCTTGGATCCCATAAGATAGAGACTACAAACTTGAGAATCTACAAAATGCATTTTTCAGAATACAATGCCTATCAAATATGATTAAGGAACAAATTAACAGGGCCAGATGAATTCTAGAAGCAACAGACCCAGAAGAGAAAATGACCAAACACTACTTGTTATCACATACAGCACACATCTGAATCAATCACACAAATCATAAACAACTTTCAGCCCATCCTTGACAAGAATATTCCATTCTCTCAAGCCCTTGGTGCAGACCTATGCTTGCTTACAGACAAGCCCCCCAGTCTCAAGCACCTCTTGACACACAATGGAATACAAAATGCTCAAACACAGATGGGGAATAAACCTTGCTACAAACGCAGATGCTAGTTCTGCCCCACATTTATTCTGGCAGCACAATTACAGGACCTAAAAATGTCACACATAATATCAATGACATTTTCACTTGTTCCTTTGCCAATGTGATCTATGCTATCTTTTGCCCAAGATGCCCCTCTGCGACACACAATGGAATACAAAATGCTCAAACACAGATGGGGAATAAACCTTGCTACAAACGCAGATGCTAGTTCTGCCCCACATTTATTCTGGCAGCACAATTACAGGACCTAAAAATGTCACACATAATATCAATGACATTTTCACTTGTTCCTTTGCCAATGTGATCTATGCTATCTTTTGCCCAAGATGCCCCTCTGCGGTCTACATACACTTGTTCCTTTGCCAATGTGATCTATGCCATCTTTTGCCCAAGATGCCCCTCTGCAGTCTACATAGGACAAATGGGAAAATCTTTGCACAAAAGAATTAATGGACATAAGTTAGACATTAGAAATGGCAATGCACAGAAACCTGTTTCATATCATTTCAGTCTACCTGGACACACTTCACAAGATTTGAAACTTGTCATTCTGAAGAATAAAAATTACAGAGACAGCTGAGATAAAATATATGTGTATGCTTAGTACCAATTTCAACAGATTAAATATTAGCCAAGGATTCTTAACCTATTATCACATATAAAATTCTACTATAAAGTTGTTGTACCTGCTGTAATTTTCCAGTAATCCACATTTCTTTCTAACTAACCACAGCCGCTTTTAAAAAAACAGCTTCAAAGACAGACAAAAACTCATTACCATATGTTGTTTCTGCTATGTTATCTATAGTCTGGAGTTAATTAAGCCACTAACCATTGTCATTGTTTATAAAACAATGCTTTAGGAAAGGAACTGAGTATCAAACAAGGTTGGGGACCACTGCTTTAAAGGAAAGGAACTGAGTATCAAATAGAAGTCATTAACAGCTTTGGAATGCCAAATTGACTCACACAATCCACAACTTGTAACTACTAACCACAGCCATCTCCTTGTTTTTAATCTTCGTGCTATCTTTGGAATTCTATTGTTATTGCTATGCTTTTTTTTTAAAAAAAGTCCATTCTGTATGTAACATTTAAAAAATGATGCCATTACAGCGAGATGAATAAGGAGAGAAAAGCATGGAGAAATCATGGCAGAACACAATGGACACAAAGACAGAAAGTCTTGTTGGCAACACTCAAAACTGAAGGAAGAAAGTTAGTCCTCATAAAGATTATAGATTATGACATTTTGTTCCAGTTATCTGACATTTTCAGCATCTACAACACAAAACAGATGCGAATTTAAAAGATATATCAGATAGGCAGTATCTCATCTACAGATGGTACATATAAGATACCTGATTATCATAACATCTACATCCACAGAGCCCCCTTCTCCATAATTCTCTTGTTCTTAGTTTTAGCAATATTACTGAGCTGATTACCTTGTGTTTTGTGAAGTTTTTCAACTGCCCATACTCCAATATTCACCCTTTCTTTAATGCCAATGTCATCCCAGATAGGATGCCGTTTTCCTTGTATTAACACAGCTTCATTAACACACCTATAGAAATAGTGAGTTTAAGATAAATTATTGTAGAAATCAATTTTATTCAAGTATTTGAACATCTTCTTCAAGAAAAATTTTTGGAAATATGTCCCATTACCCTAGCTGCATTGGCAGCTTATATTTGTTTCTGCTAATTTATTGTTTTTCTAATTAGATTAACACATCACATAACCCAGGCAATGGTTTTGATCCATGGTTGACCACAAAAGATTCAAAACCAAAGATATCTGAGTTAAAATGATTACATTCAAGCTAGGGATAAGTGGAATTCCATGGTTAACATCACTGGTTCTTAACCTTGTCAAGGTTCCCCTTGACAATTTTTGTCCAGTTGTGTTCGACTCTAGGGGGCAGTGCTCATCCCCGTTTCCAAGCCATAGAGCCAGCGTTTGTCCGAAGACAATCTTCCGTGGTCACATGGCCAGTGCGACTTAGACACGGAATGCTGTTACCTTCCCACTGAGGTGGTCCCTATTTATCTACTTGCATTTGCATGCTTTCGAACCGCTAGGTTGGCGGGAGCTGGGATAAGCGACAGGCGCTCACTCCGTCGCGTGGATTCGATCTTATGACTGCTTGGTCTTTTGACCCTGCAGCACAGGCTTCTGTGCTTTAGCCCGCAGCGCCACCACGTCCCTGGGTTACTCAGGAGTTTTGGACTGCAACTCCCAGAAGCCTTCACCACCAACTGTGCTGACTGGGGTTTCTGGGAGTTGCAGTTCAAAAGCATCTGAGTAACAAAGGTTAAGAACCACGGGTTTACATAACTGAGAATGGAATCTGCAGTCCATTCTTGGCACACACAGGGAGAAGGCTAGAACTGTCAGGTTTTCTTGTGCATCCTGTGAGACAATCAGTATGTTCCAAGACAAGTGACTTCTGCACCCTCGCTGGACTAAAAACATTCAGGTATAGAAGGTAAGAAACAGCACAATCCAAGACACATACAGCATCACTTCATGCCCTCCTGGGTTTCTACCCAGGGCTTCTGCCAAAACAGACAAGCCCCCAGTCTTAATTACGTCATTACTGTAATTCTGAATAACGTAAAAACTGAGATTCATTACTCTTTTTAAGAGAGTGGAAGGGAGGGTCAAGGAAAAAAATCAACCCCACTCCCATTTCTGTAACAAAAAATGAGGAGACATCAAAGCTATGAGACCATGTGCAGAACTCCAAGGTCCATGGATGAGTGTGTGCAGCCTCCAAACCTCTGCTGATGGATCACACCATTTTACTTTATTTGTGCAACAGCAGTGAAGGGAGAGGCAATAGGTTTCATGGCTCATTATTTATTTGCAGACTGTGAACAAAGAGATGTGCATAATTTCTTTTTTCTAAAAATGGAAGTACAGTATGATAAAACTGACATATTTTTAAACAAGCTGATAATTGGTCATGGTTAGTTCCTGCCACTGAAACTGTTCTCTCTTGGTTTTTAGTGCATCTTTTCAATGCTTAGCCTCTTTGTTACATCATTTAAACTGCCCCATAGGTTTATGCTTTTTCCGTGTAATAAACAATAACTATGTTCAATGAATGCACATCCTGTCTCCTTTCAGTGTATGGATCTTGAAGCTTTACTTCAGCTTTGCACTGAATCTTTAAAGGGCCACATGTTGTTAGATTCCTCTATAGAATCAACCTATCATTCAATTTTTTTTAAAAAACATAACTTAATTAAACAAAGAGAAAAAAGATAGTGGTCTGCACTTGCATGTAACGGTGCAGGTCAGGTAGTCGCTCAAAGCCTTCAACAACAATATCCCCCATAGCTTTAAATCCTTCTGGACAAACCATCTCATAAACTGTAAATCCATCTTTTCCTTCATTTGGAGATCTCCAAATCTGCCTAAAAATTAAAAAATAAATAAAGCAATTACATTGTTAGAAAGAACAATAACAAACCCTCACTCATATTTAAAGAATTACAGTATTTAATCTAGAGCAGGGAAGAGAAAGAACAAGGGACACTGACTGCAATATTTAACATCTACATGGAACCACTGGGAGAGGTCATCAGGAGGTTTGGGCTGAGGAGTCAGCAATATGCTGACGACACAGCTCTACCTCTCATTTTCCACGAATTCAGGGGAGGCGGTTTCTGTGCTGAACTTGTGTCTGGACCTGATAATGGGCTCGATGAGAGTTAATAAATTGAAACTCAATCCAGAGAAGACGGAAGTGCTGTTATTGGGTGCTTCACCAGACAGGCTGGAGGGCCATTTCCCTGCCCTGTATGAGGTTACACTCCCCCTAAGGGACAGGGTCCACAGCCTGGGGGTGCTCCTGGACCCTAGTCTAACTCTGGAAGCACAGGTAGACTCGGTGGCCAGGGGCGCCTTCCTTCAGCTGTGGAAATAGTACCAGCTATGGCCCTACCTGGACGAGCAGACTCTCATGACAGTTACACACGCACTGGTAACATCTCGTATAGATTATTGCAATGCACTCTACGTGGGACTGCCTTTGAAGACAGTCTGGTGACTGCAACTGGTCCAGAATCGAGCTACGCGGCTGCTGAGTGGTGGGGCCGCTACAGAACACATCAAGCCGATTCTGTACAATTTACACTGGTTAAGAGTTGCTGTCCGGGCACAATTCAAAGTGCTTGTTTTGACATATAAAGCCCTAAACGGCTTGGGCCCTGGATACTTGAAGGACCGCCTCCTTCCATATGAGCCTACCCGGCTATTAAGATCTAGCCAGGGGGTCCTTTTGAAAGAGTCATCACTCAAGGAGGTAAGAGGGATGGCTTGTAGACAAAGGGCCTTCTCGGCAGCTGCCCCCAGACTATGGAGTGCCTTCCCAACAAGATTTGTCTGGTGCCAATGCTGATAACATTTCAGCGCCAGTTCAAAACCTTCTTGTTCCAGAAGGCTTTTAATTGAAATAATATCAACTGTAGGTCCTGATGGCAATTTTTAGAGTATCTATTTTAATTGTATTTTAATCGTTTTATCTTTTTATTGTATTTTTATTGTATTTTAATTGTTGTAAGCCGCCCAGAGACCTCTTGGTAGAGTGGGCGGCATATAAGTTAAATAAATAAATAAATGATCAATTTTGTGTGAGATGAAGGGTCAAACTATACAGTATAGTACAGATAGCACATTATTAGATGCCGAAATCACATTAGGATTTGAGGGATGTCATTCCAGCAGACCTTCATGTCTGAGCAGTCATACTTGCAAGTGAAGGTCATGTTTTCCTCCCCAAAACCAATCAAGCAAAGCAAACCAATTCACAAGCTGTGTGAGTTGTGAAAAGCTTATGCTGAGACAGTCAGGAAGCTTCCTTAAAAAATTCCTTCTTCTAATGCTATCTGCTTTGTATAATTTGGTGGCAAGATAGCTGAGTATTTGGAGTCTGCAAACTTTGAAAAACAGCTTTCTGGGGCAGCTGCCTTTGTATGGGGGTTTGGTGTGGTGCTGTAGGTTGAACAAACTTCAAAAGTTGTAGAATATTTCAGTTATTCTTTTATCTATACTTGACTTCTATACCTGTCAATAACCTCAACCATTACAAACAGTATTTAGACCTCTTTACAAAAAAAAGCACCCCTGAAATTTCTCACTATTGGGGAATACATTTAATGTAAAAAATAGATTCCCTTTCTTAATTCCATTGGCTGTGACCCTACGTTGTTCTTTAAGCCACATGACATATTTTTAAGGAGAAAAGCTGCATGCATTTTAAATAAATAAATGATAAATATTTGTTCACATGAGGGGAAATGCCATCAATCATTCCCAAGGGTTCCCTTAATCCCTAGGAACAGATTTTATAGAGGCACAGGAAAATTCCTTCTAACTAAAGGCTCAACCTTTCAATAGCTTAAGATTTCCTGGTCACCAACAGGCATGGAGAGAGATTTCCATTTTAATCGCATCCATAAAGTGAAGTACCTGGCTGTTGTGGGGCGATGAAGCAGATTATTCTCATCCTTCACTAATACAGCCCTGTGACGCGGCGGGCGAGTGCCTTGTTTAACCATATCTCCAACAGAATAATAACCTAGAGGACAAAAGGTTGTTGCCAGTAGTTACCACATGCTCTTTAAAAAGTTTTTTAAAAATCATAACAGCATAATGAGTAGCAAATGACAGCCGTTCTTCATGTTACATTCCAAAAACTGAGATGCTTTACTGTGCCTAGCATTCAAGTTTGCCAGTGCAATAAAAGAGAAGTATGTCGTAACAAGAGCTAGTTCCAGAAACAAGTTATATTTGCATATTACCCTTAAATGATCAGGACCATTCCATCATCATTATGTAGAATAGCCTTCCCCACTCCGATATACTTGAAATGTGTTGGATAATGGCTCAATCACCACCAGGCTGCATTTCAAGGTATCAAGTTGAAGAAATTAGATGTCAAGAGTGAAGGATGAGGAGACAGAGCTGCACCTAATGCTCTTGATCACATAGCCCATGCAGGGCATGGTACATGCATCTAAAGAGGGTTGGATGCAATCAAGTGACTGTACTCAGGCAGTGATAATTTCATGCCTTCCTATTGTGTTCATACTCATCCAGGACTTCGGACAGTTAAGTTCCTTTATTTAAATAAACTCAGAAAAATCTTTTTCTTTCCTTTTTTCATTTGAGAATCCAATGCAGCAGCCCTGCTGCTGGAAGTCTCTGGGAATCGTAAGCCAAAAGGGAAAAATTCCAAACTCTGGACTTCATTGAATATCTGCAGCTATCCTAGAGTGATGCTGTATCCGAGCAACATGAAGGAAGTATCATACTTTATGGACTTAATACCACTCCTGGTTTTATTTTGTGGTGACCAGAATAATTTCACAGACAAGATTTCCAGTTCAGATTATTGGATTTCCCCCTCCCGCAAGGACAAAATGAGTAACCAAACCTTGAATAATTCATATGCATAACAGGGGAGCAAAGGAATGTCAGGTTTAACCTGACCAATGGCAGAATTATCTATCTTATAGCCAAAACTTTTAATTAGTTAACCAGATTAGTCAAGTATAAAGATTTGTATAATGCAGTCCTTTTCATACATACTCAGAATTAATTCTTTGTGGCTGGAATCTTGTCATACAGTTACACAGTGATTTTTTTGAAATAAAATATTTCCAATCTCCCCCCACCCCCCACCCCGCCACTGCCCCCAAAGCTCTCATGGAATCCCTTTCGTTGTGGATAAGCTGTTGGGCTGCAGAACAGGGCTGCAGAACAGGGCTGCCGTTTAGCTGCAGAACAGTATTTCATTTCTGAAAGTGGCTACTAGCATGACTTTACCAGGAGCTGTGGTTTTCAGAAACTAAAAACTTCACATGGGCCCCAACAGCTTCTCCATTAAAATATAGAACAAATAGTACATCAATAGACAAGGACTCAAGATGAAAGAACAAAATAAATCAAGAGGTGGCTGGAGGAAAATGCCGTTTAGCTGCAGAACAGTATTTCATTTCTGAAAGTGGCTACTAGCATGACTTTACCAGGAGCTGTGGTTTTCAGAAACTAAAAACTTCACATGGGCCCCAACAGCTTCTCCATTAAAATATAGAACAAATAGTACATCAATAGACAAGGACTCAAGATGAAAGAACAAAATAAATCAAGAGGTGGCTGGAGGGAAAGCTTGCCTAAATAGCCTTTACAGCCAGGTTTTCAGTTGGACTTTGAAAATGCCCAGCGAAGGGGCCATATGAATCTCAGAAGGGAGGCTATTCCAAAGGCGAGGGGCCACTGCCAAGAAGGCCCGGTTTCTTGTTTTTTCCTTCCAGGCCTTCCTCGGCATTAGGCTCCTCAGCCTCACCTCCTGGCTAGATCGAGTGATACGAGTAGATTTGGGTGGGAGGAGGCGTTCCGTCAGATATCGAGCCCCTAAACCGTTTAGGCAGGGCAGCCTCTCTCCTCCCTGATAAAATCGATCCTGATCAATCTAAAGTGTTGTCATCTTGCCATACTGGCACCCTGGCATCCTCAAGTACATTTGCCTATTACACAAGAATCTGCAGATATGATCTTTATTTGTGATTAACTAAGAGCTAGTATAGGTTCAAAACTATGCTTTGCTTATTTTGAAATATGCCTATTTTCTCTTTCAGCCTTTGACATATCCTTCTCCATCAATAAATCCTCTGGATTTGCACTGGAGGTTTGGAATGTGGGTTTTTTGAACACATCTATGGGAAAAGATTCTCTCTCTCTCTCTCGCTATCCCTTTTTTCCTTTGCCTCACTTCCAGACTTTATTATGCTTCACTACCAGACTGACTGGTGCTGCTCCTACAGGGATATGAACTACCTGGCCTGTTGGGATGGGAAATCTTTAAGGAGCTATCATCATTACCCAGATAAACAGCTGTCTCATTGCCTTGGCCAGCCTCTTGTCCAAGAATTAGAGGCATGCAATACGAAAGGTGGTGGCACACAGGAGCAGACCTTTGCTCCATCTGCTTTAAAATGATTAGTGCCCATTTTTATTGAGAGCTTGCTTTTGGCAGACTCCATCCTGGGAGAAGCATTCCACATCCATACTTCCAGGAAAGAAGGAATACATCTCCTAGGAACAGTATGCCTGCTATGATAACAACAAGCAGAGACACAACAAGATAATGATTTTTTTCTTTCAGAAGTCATGCTTCAGTCATAAGATTTAATGGATGAATTTATCATTTGATAAACTAAGAGTTCACTTGATCATTTGACTAAAATTTCTTTAATTAGGTGGCAGCTCCTTCAGAAGAAAACATGGGGTTCCTATGTTTTTCTAAGAAGACACAATCAGGGTGTAATGCAGGAAGGTGATTCTGAACTTTTGTCGTATCCACTTATTATCTTCAGTGTCTCTAATAGGGATTTGTCATTTTCTAGAAGCGAAAATATGCCAACGCATTTATTATGCTAAAAGGATACATCCAATGATCGCATAAGGACCTGCCTGACCAGTTTGGGTAAGTCAGTCTTTCTCACAAACTTTTATTTAATTTATTTAAACAGGCTCTAAAGTTCAGGGTGATTGTTTAGAAGGATTTCTTGCCTTTTGGTATAATGTTGTCACGGCCATACTTGAAACGTCAGCTGTCCAGTAGTAAAAACTGAAGTGATACAGTCCAGGCAAAAGGACCACTCACATGCAAAAGGCATATTTCCTTCTCAGACATTAGGGTGACCAGATGTAAAAGAAGGCAGGGCTACTACACTTGTCAGCAGTTCTGCCATTCTTCCACACAGCAATTAGTGGAGCGGCAGTCTTTCCTTGTACTTGAACACCCAAGGTTGGCCATGTGCCCCAGTCTGTGGAGGACCGCCTTCTATTTGCAAGTGTTGCATGTTTGAAATGTTGTCCACTCTACATCCATTTTAAAGATGTAAGAGCCAGAAACTGAGAACAGGAGCTTCGAACCTGGATAATAACAATTTGTACCTGGACAAGAGCAAGCACACAGATCACAGTTTCCTCCACTAGAGTGAGATATATTGAATTTCTGGAAATCTGTGTTGTTGTTGTTTCCTTTTTAGGGGGAAAGGCAGAGGTGGGATTCAGCAGGTTCTCACCTATTCTATAGAACCGCTTCCTAAATGTACTATTGGTTCTTAGAACCGTTTGTTGGCCTGAGATGAATGAAGGAGGAGGGGCCAGGTGACCAGCGATGAGCGAGGGGGAGGGGGCACAATTAACTGCCTCCCTTCCCACTCCACACTGAGCCATATGAGGTGGGATATGGGTGAGAGAAATAAAGCCCAGGAAAGAGCAGAGGTGTCACTGGCGGAAAGAGGGGGGAGGATGAGTCCTTGATGTCACTGGAGGAAAGCCCATGGCCTCGAGGCAGGGGGGGTGATTGACAAGGCATGAGGGCAGGACACAGAGAGAAAAAGTTTTGGGGTGAGACTGCTCCATTCGGCCATAGAACCTGTTGTTAATTTATTTGAATCCCACCACTGGGGAAAGGGTCTGGTTTTCAATGCCTTTATAACAAGACACACTGAAAGAATATTGCTGCAGCCAAGAACTTTCTTCTCACCTGGATAATGACAGTTCACATGCCAGAGTGTCATAGGCTTTAAATCCCCAGCAGTACGTCCAGTAAGCACATATTCATCACAAAGTCTATACTTCAGCTTTGGTTCAGCTCTGTCTTCTGCTGGAAAGATCAAATATATAAGAACATATGCATTGGTTCATGTAACCTGCTACTGCCTATTCTGACTGATAGTACACTACTACAGCCAAAGACTTCATCTGCTTTGCTATCTGGCTAATTTTTAATTAGAGGCACTAAGGAAAAGCCTGAGAAAGGTTCTAAAATTTCCACTATCCTCACAGTATTTAGTCTGTGTCTTCATATATAATCAATCTGCATGTTTGTAAACAAACTCAAATATTACAAAATGCCACATGCCTCCAATAGCTTCTCTCTAAGGAAAACAGCATAGATAGGTGCTGTACTCCTTGAAATTTTCATCACTTAGCAAAGTGCGGTAAGTGTTAAAGTACTGTATATTTTAGATCTAAGATGTTCACATAGATGTTTAATAAGTCAATTTAACAATATGAAAATTACTTACGTTTCTGGCAGTTAATGCATCCTGCAATCAATAAAAAGCATAGCACTAAGAAGCCTCGTGAAAAGTCCGCCATCACCGCTGAGCTTCAAAACAGGGGGAAATTCTGCAAAGAAATTAGCAAAGTAATAAATACTCATCAGAGAGAGAGAGGGTGACATTAGGACATAAAGTTCAATCCTGGGATCATACTATTCCCAACAGCAGGAATCACAGGACAGTTATGTCCAGAAGAAATTTGCTGGATAAACTTAGCAGATTGAAGATGCCATAGTAGCAAACATGACATGATTTTAAAGTTTGACATGACATGAGTAAAGCAACGCCATGCTGGCATTAATGTATTTGATTGTTCATGATTGTGTTAGGAGGAAGAGAAGGTGGGCTAAAATTCTATATAGGCACAACAATGAAAATGAAGATTAATGTCACATGTTATTGCTGAATCTGTGTTGGTCCTTGGAATCAGTTCCTGGCAAAGGTGTGCTTGGCTCATCTGTCCTAACATTCAGAAGGCTTCTGAAGATTTTTATGCCACGCGTGCAACCCTATAATTGGAATTATCCAGTTTCTGTGAGAACTTGTGTCTGGACCTGATAATGGACTATGAGGGTTAATACATTGAAACTCATTCCAGACAAGACGGAAGTGCTGTTAATGGGAGCTTCACCAGACTGGCTAGAGGGCCATTTTCCTGCCCTGAATGGGGATGCACTGGGAGTGCTCCTGGACCCAGGTCTAACTCTGGAAGCCCAGGTGGACTCAGTGGCCAGGAGCACCTTCCTTCAGGTGCGGAAATTATACTAGCTGTGGCCCTACCTGGACGACCGGAGTCTCATAACAGTTATGCATGCACTAGTAACATCCCATATATATTATTGCAATGCGCTCTACGTGGGGCTGCCTTTGAAGATGGTCTGGCAACTGCAACTGGTTCAGAATTGAGCTGTGCGGTTGGTGAGTGGTGGGGCAACTAGGCAACACATCAGGCCAATGCTGTTCAAATTACATTAGCTACCAGTTGCTGCCCGGGCCCAATTCAAAGTGCTTGTTTTGGCATATAAAGCCCTAAACGGCTTGGGCCCTGGATTCCTGAAGGACTGCCTCCTTCCATATGAACCTACCCAGCAATTAAGATCTAGCCAGGGGTCCCTCCTGAAAGAACCATCCCTCAAGGAGGTAAGACGAATAGCTTGTAGACAAAGGGCCTTTTTGGCAGAGGCCCCCAGACTATGGAACACCATCCTGAGGGAGAGTCATCTGGCACCAACAGTGATGATGTTTCAGCACCAGGTCAAAACCTTCCTGTTCCTGAAGGTTTTTAATTGAAATAATATCAACTGTGGGTCCTGATGGCAACTTTTAGAGCATTGTATTTTAATTGTTTTTATCTTTTTATTGAATTCAAATTGTTGTAAGCCGCCCAGAGACCTTTGGGTAGTGTGGGTGGCATACAACTTAAATCAATCAATCAATCAATCAATCAATCAATCAATCAATCAATCAATCAATCAATCAATCAATCAATCCTCTTGTTGCATCTGATTTTATCTGTTGATTGGTTTTATTGTAATTTAATTGTTGCTGTGTTTTATTCTTTTGCTTAGCCACCAAGAATTAGAACTTCGTACTAATGGGATAATATACAAATCAAATCAGATCAGATCAGATCAGATCAGATCAGATCAGATCAAATCAAATCAAATCAAATCAAATCAAATCAAAGCAGCATCTCACTATCCTTTTATACTCAATGGAATTGGAGACAACCAATATTGGCTTCAAATTACAGTATACATTTGGACAGAACTTTGGCAGCGTGCTTCCAGTCAAATCAGATCAGATCAGATCAAATCAAATCAAATCAAAGCAAAGCAGCATCTCATTATCCTTTTATACTCAATGGAATTGGAGACAACCAATATTGGCTTCAAATTACAGTATACATTTGGATAGAAGACATCTTTTGCAGCAAGCAGGGAAAGTTCTCTATCTTAGACCTTCCTTGCTAATTAAGGTTAATACAAGTCCCCTTCCATACTGTATAGCAGAATGGTAACACACTCCTACAAGAAAACCCATAGCAGCCCCTTCGGACAATGCAAAAATACCACATTCTACTTCTGTAACCTTCTCATGCAGAAACTCAGCAGGTCAGAGAGTACAGTACTGCTGAGTTTAGCACCCTTAATAGGATACTTTTTTCAATCTGTACTGAAGTCATTCAACAATGTAACCTTCTAACCACCCAGAATGGCCTTGGCTGCCAGATGGGTGGTATATAAACGAACAAACAAACAAATATAGTGAAGTGATATAGTCCAGGTAAAATATCACCACTTGCCAGTACAATGGTAGTATAATATCATCCTCCATTGGCCACCTTCTCATATGGGAAAACAGACTGCCTTTTGTGCTGCTTGTGGACTGGTCAAGGGCAATCTATTTCATGGTGACCACATGATGTATGAGCAATTTTGTTCCAGTTCAATCCTGATCCATGCCAAAGCTGACCTTTTTTTGGTCCAGCTCTAGAGCTACTGCTGTTTTGGAGCAGACTGGAATGATTTCCTGACAGATAGAAGAGTTGCTTTAAGAGACATCGCTCCCTTCAAAGTGATGATTTCTAGTGCAATTGAATGTATGCTTTCCCAAAAGGTACAATTTTTTTTGCTCTTTTGCTGCAAACATAACTGCCCATTACATTCAGGGTTCCACCTATTCGGCTACTTTTACAAGTGATAATCCGCCATCACCTTATGTAAGTAGAGAGACCTTTTGGTATCAATACGGTGCTCCCTGATTTATCTGCAACTTGGAGATTGCACAGAGCCATCCACCTTCACAACCATTATGCACTGATATTGCAAAGAGGACTCTACATCTCTAATTTCTTTTTTGATAATCTGAATTCTACATACTCACCAAAGGTTCCTGTCAGAGTCCCTTGTTTTCTAGTAAGAAGTGTTGCCAAAATGGAAATAAGTGCCTAACAAAAGGTCCTTAAATATGTGTTTTTACAGAAGTATGTAAATTTTGATTGGTTGCTGCAAGAACAAAATAAAAATGTAAAGGCTTCCAAGGTGGCTAAAGTCCAGATCAGATTCAAGGACAAAGAATCACATGATTATTCAACAGTTTCTGAGTATGCAATCAAAACCAAACAAATTGTTGAAAAATCAAACAAATTGGCAGATTTTAACATGTCTGCATTTTGTCCAAAGGGCTTTGTGACCCTTTTCTTTAATCTCAACCAAAGAGCAGAGGGTTCCTGAATGTTACAGATTCATTGCTGGTTCTTGGCAAGCAAACAGCTTCCTCACACCAAAATTCAGCATTGATTGACTTTTCATGCACTAGAACAGGATCTGAGCTGGCACCAACTGACCACAGAAAAGATGTTGGGGTTGCAGTAGATAGTTCAATGAAACAGATGCACATATAGAAGACTGGTAACAGCTGGCTTGGCACTTGTACATACTGAAAAGAATCTAGAGGTGTTTGTAAACCACAAGCTAATATGAATCAACAGTGTGATGTAGTAGCAAAAATAACAAAAACAACAAATACAACCAGAACAACACTAAGTCACATTGACAAAAGTATAGTGTCCAGACCAAGGGAAGTAAATGCTTGTATGCTGTTGTTAGTTTAGTCGTTAAGTTGTGTCCGACTTTTCATGACTCCATGGACAAGAGCATGCCAGGCCCTCCTGTCTTCCATTGCATCCCGGAGTTGGGTCAAATTCGCGTTGGTAACTTTGCTTACACTGTCCAACCATCACTTTCCTCCCAAAAATGCTTGTATACAAGGCCTCAATTGGTGCAGGCTAGGACAGGCTAAATAGGGTTGGCTAAGGTCAGGCAGAGGTCCAGTATGCCATTTGATGTGATCCTTGCACCCAAATAGCATAGGCATCTCCAATAACACTATTTGGTCTGCTTCCCTTAGGAAAAGGAAAGGAAAGGTGGAGACTCCTTGCCTCTCCTGCTTGCAAGAGGACTTTTTAATACAGTATTAAATTTTTTTCATAAGAGTAGCATATTGGCACTGTCTTAATAAGAGTAAAAAAAAACCTTCAACTTCCTTCCTCTGCCTCCCCGAGAAGAACAAAAGGAGTGTTTAATTTCTGGATATCTCGAGGTGACTAAGCTATCTACTTAAGTCGCTTAACAATATTGGGAATTGAAAGTGGAAGTGAAATATAAAGCCACAAACTCCACTTTGGCTCATTACCGATGACCACTAGTGCTGGAAACGAATCAAAATACTGTAGAGCTATCTTACTTGCCCCCCACAAAACAGTAGCCCCTGACATGGGCTCAGAAAGGTGTGGGTACGAATGCTCTGGGGGTGCGCTAGTTTACTCTAGCAATTATTTCATCTGATCACTAGCAAAAAAGAATGAATCAGCCCTTTCCTGCAAGAGACCAAACAGCAAGATAAATCTCGCTGGATCATATCCTAATATTATCACTTTATCCTGCTTTGGTCAAACCATGCCTGAAGTACTATATCTAATTCTGGGCTCCACAGTTTAACAGGAATATCAACAAGCTAGAATATCTTCAGAGAGTAACCAAGATGGGGCGGGATCTCAAAACTAAGGCTGTGAAGAATGGTTGAGGGAGTTGGAAAAAAAAGGCTGAGAGATAATATAAAAGCCAGTTTTGAATATTTGAAGGGTTGTCACATGGAGCAACCTTCTTTTCTACAGCTCCATTGGGTAGAAACTGAAGCAACAAATTCAAATTGCAAGAAAAAAGACTTTGATTAAACATTAGGAAGAATTTCTTGACAACAGAAACTGTTCATCAGTGGAATGGGCTACAATAGAAAATAATAAACCCTTCTTCACTGGAGTTTTGTCTAAAGTGGCTGGATGACCACTTTGAGAAGCTTTTTCTGTGAATTTCTTGCTTCATGAAAGCTTGGATTTGATGAGTCATGGGATTCCTTCCAACTGTAGAATTCTGTGATTCTGTGAAAATGTTAATCCAGTCTGTGTTTGCTAAAAGTTGTGTCTAATTAGGAACTGAACTGAAAATAATTATTGAGAGGGCCACAAAAATTAACACACCTGGGTGGTAATGGATATCATTGAGG